TTGGTGAACAGTTAAAGAGCCAAAGAGAGTATCAAGCCAAAAGGAAGGTAACTTCTACATAGCAGAAGGTTTGGTAACGCTATTTGCTTTAACAGTGAGAAATGAACATATGTTACCAACTGGATGCTCCAGCTAAGGACTTTCTGAGTATCCTGTCAAAAATGATGTCAGGATGAGAGAGATTAGCAGGAAGAAAATTTAAATATAAAGGAGTATGACTTTGGGAATTTGAACAATAAACTATTTCATTCCTATTATAATGGCTATGCTTGGTTGTCAAATCTGGAATTAGTGAAGACCAAGCTACTTGGGTGTTCCTATGAGGGATTTCCTTGACTGGATCATTTGAGGTGGGAAGACCCACCTGAAGTCTGTGCTGCACCTTCTGTGCAGCCTGTGTAAAGGACATGGAAGAAGGAAGCTTTTGCTTTTTACCTGCTTGCTCTTATTGTCAAGGTTATTTCTTCACTTGTAGTAGAACCTACTTCTAAAGGAGTCCTATATATGCTGAAGACCAAGAAGACATCCGTCCTCATGGTGGACCTAACAGGCAAATATTGGATTTTTGGGCTTTATGCTAGGAGACAGCCATTGTTGGAGTAGTCAGACCACAGGCTGTAAGCCACACTAATAATCCCATGTCTCATTCTTTCTGTAGAAAATGTGACTATTACAAATACCGTCTCTAGGTAGTAAATGATGCTCAAAGTGAGAAATGTCTTTTAGGGAGGGTAAATCTGAGAAACTAAAGGAAGTGTGAAGATGAAACTGATGGGTTTGTTTAGCACACAGGAAGAGTAAAGATCCCAAGTGGATGGCTAGAACCTTAATGGTACAATTCCACAGCAGTCTCACCAGGAACCACGCTAGACGGCTGGTGAGGTGGCTCAGCAGGTAAAGGTGTTTGCCACCAAGCTGGTGGCCTGAGTTCAGCCCCTGGATCTTAGACGGTGGAAGGACAGAACGGATTTCCACAAGTTGGCCGCTGACCTTCACATGAATGCTGTGGCAGTTCTCACCCTCCTACTAAATATAACAAGTTTTTAAAAGGGAAAGCTGAGTTAGAGACTGCACATGCTGGAGGCGGCTGTGGCTGTAGATCTGGCTTGATAGAGTGTGCTAAAAGGCTTGAAAGACCCACTGAAGTGTGTGTTTGTTTGTTTGTTTTGAGATTTTTAGATTATTGCCAGATTGGATAGAAAGGAATAATGCTAAATGAAAAAATAAACTTCAGTGTCTTGTCGGTAGGCCTGTCTACTGTAGTGAAATAGTACAGCCACCATGAAATACAGTGTGCCAGTGCCTCAAAGGAGTATATGCTGGCACTGTATGACATAACAATTCCAAAGTAAATATACCCTAGTGAAATGAAAATGGCTATACGTTCAGTGCTCCAGTCAGTGTTATATCTAAGAGCCAAAAAGCAGAAACAGCCCAAATGCCCTTCAAGCAGAAGAAAAGATCGGTCAAAAGTGTTATGTAGATATAATAGAATATTATTTAGTAGTTAAAAAATACTTAATTGGGTATGCTTTTATGTGGCTAAGCCTTGCAAATGTTTTTTTCAGAAGCCAGTCATAGGATTTTTATCTTTGTACAGTGTTCAAAGTGAGCAAACTTTTATTGAAAAAAAAAATACAAGATTAGGGTGGGTTATGGTTGGTTCTTAAAGCATGACCATAGTTCTGTTTTTCTCACTTGCTGTCAAGAAGTAGATTTTAATTTGCATCCCTTGAGATACAGGTAGGCCTCAGAGACTTGCTTCTTTCTAATCAAAAGATTGTGTTAGAAGTGATCTGACTTGAAGCTAAGTCACGGAGGTAACGTTCCCACCCTGCTTTCTGTCTTGAGATGCTCACACTTAGAGCCCAGCTGCGTGTCCAGTCCGCACACTGGAAGGTTTTAGTCAACAACAGCATCTCTTGCAAGATGTGGGGAAGGAAACCTTCAGTTGATTCCTGCTGGTCTAGCCTTTGTGCTGCTACAGCGGTCACCAGGGGAGCAAACATAAGCTTTGCTCAAACAAAGACTGGTGAAGAAATAAGCGTTTTAAATCATTGTGTCGTGGTTTCACAGCCATAGATAACCAGGGTAGGGAGGTTGTGTTTATACTACTGGGTACCTGCTAAATATGACAGAAGAAGGAATCAAAGTCGACAGTGTTGTCTGGGTTTGGCACATCAGTAGAAAGCAGGATCAGGGTATAGTGCCTCCATTCCCGCTTCTGTGGTATTTCCCAGTGTTTGGGTACCATCTCCTACAATTCTGGGCACACCAGTCACGTGAGAGGGGACGGTGCCACAGATGTTTCAGAGCTTCCTCTTTGTGTGTGAGTTCTTGTGTATATTCATCTTCTTAGGGATGTGAGAGTGTGTGTGTGTGTGTGTGTGTGTGTGTGTGTGTGTGTGTGTGTGTG